AGTCAAGCGTACTGTAACTGCGATACTCTCTCTTTGTTGGCGTTTCTTATGCAAATGAGCAGAAACTCTCTGTATCTGCAAAATATCAATGAAACAGTACGGGGTTTTTTTTAGCGATGAAGGAAAGCTGTATCCGTATACAGACATACCAATCGTTCAATTCACCATAGAACTGTTAGTATTTACACAAAAATTTAGGTGAATCAAAAATAAAATTTTACAACGTAAAGGTATTATTGTCGGATTCAAAATTTAGAAAGGAGGGAGTGGGGCAGTTCACAAATTAAAGGTAAAAAAAAAAACAAAAAAAACAAAAAACGGAAAATCGTATTCCGTGGGGGTAGCAACCAACACCTATGTGCGTCATTTGTTGATGAATTAAAAACTGTATGTATACAAGTTTAGAAAAAAAAAAAATTAAGAAAGCGAAAAAGAAAAAAAAAACTCAAATGTAGATGGGAGCACCAGTGAGTGCTGTATCCCGTTTTTACTCTACATTTTAATGAAAACGTGAATGTGGATACCCCCCCCCCCCCCCCCCTTTCCTTTCATCTGCTTATTTCAATTTTGTATATGACGACCGGTGGAGGATTAAGACATTTCTTATTTACAAAGCATTTTTGTTCAAAAAAATACTCCCACATGATTCTTATATATCAAAATGTTTTGCATTAAATCAGTACATGTAACTTAAAAAAAAAAATGTCAGCAAGAGCTGCATAGAGAAAAAAACCCTGCGCAATCAAATCTAATTAAAATTTTTGGAAAACAAATTAATTTATGCATCCCTTAAATAATTATTTTAGAATGATAGATACCTGCACGGCATTTCAGTTGAGAATGCTTAGAATGGGATACTAATTCAAATTTCTGCAAAATCATGATTGGTTGGGAAAAAACCCAAATACGCATGTAAATCAGTGAGGTCCTTAGAAAGGTCATGTCACAAGTCATTTACAGAAATGTTTCTTATTGTTTCAGAGATATATAGGGCGGGGCCAGGCTAGAGCTATTGCTCTCCCTCAAGCCCCGCCCTTAATGTTGCAGTAGAAAGTCTAAATAATACATAAAATTGAAGTAATCCTGATGATGAAATAAATGCACTTGTAATGCAATTGATCGTGCTGCACATCTCCATAGATTATTGTGTGAAGCAAATTATTTTTTAACTTTCCAATATGGTGTATAAACTTTACAAGTATTTTTTGAACCCTCTCTCTCTCTCTCTTTGCTATCTCCCTCCTTCCGTTTACAAACAAAAATGTGTATCTCTTCCGTAACATAGATTTGGTAGGTAGGTAGGAGAAAAGTATTTATTGCTTATCCTCTGTTTATAGCAGGTGAGAGATCCTTTTGTTTGAAGCATGCAGGTGTGACCTCAAGTGCATTGACAATAAATTAAAATAATGATTTTGAAGTAGACATTGTGTAATTTCAACATTTCGTACATGTATTAATATGGTCCTACTATTAATTTTCCATTTCTTGTCTTATATAACTTCACCTGGAGCCATATCTACGACGGGTAAATATTAAATTTAATATCTTTTGGCATAAATAAATTTCCTGTAATTTAACATGCATTTTCATTTCAATATGTATTATTATGATGTTACAATGTTAAATTACGTTAAATAATGTTTCATTAATTAATAATATATTAAGCTTGTCTAATCCAAATACCACAGATTAATATATAAAAAAAAGATTAGAGAAACTATCTGTTATCATAAAGTATCATTAGAATTTTTAAAAATGTAAAAACTATAACAAGATTTCTGAATATTTAACATTGTTTTTATAGTCAATTTTCTGTCTCTATTAATTAAGTAAAATAAAAAATGATTTAGAGTAACTCCGTTAATTGATCAATTCTTACCTTTGTACATGTCCCCTACAGAGATGACGACATAGAAGTTACCCAGGGTACATAGAAGAAGATATCCCCTCACCTTGCTAATGTTACAGTAGAAAGTCAGGTAAGATGATGTTTATTCAGAGGACAAAAATATCCACTGATAATAATGAAGAACCACCTTGAACAACTTACCATTTATAGACCTATATGATAATAAAAATGTAATTCACTTTTAAGTAACTAATAGGCTATTGGCCTACTTTCTAAATTAGTGACCACAGAAATATCTCAGTTTCTTACATTATTTTAAAAAGAAATTTTAGAAAAAAAATTCCGAGAAATCTTTTTCTTAATTGAAAAATTCCTTATATACATGTAACTGTGTATCATATTATATTGCTTAATCTCTGTAAAAAAATATAACTATAACAAAACCAGCCCCGGATTACAATCAATACATAGGAATATATCGACTTCACAGAAAAGCATATTCAGAATGGATCGCACTTCAAGCCAGATACATCATGCTTATTAATTAATATTATTACATTCAATGTCACAACAATTAAAAATAACAATGTGAATAAATATTTATATAATATAATAAAAGCAATTTGTATTTTTCTTATCTTTTATATATATTTAATGTTTTACAGGAACATGTTTTATAAAAATTCCCATAAAAGACTGAGTGATTTTCAATGATGAGTAAATCTAAAGAAAATCAAGGCAGAAGTTGAATGTTAATACAAATGATTAATCAATAACTTTCTTTACACTTTTTGAACGAAATGTGTATATATTTTGAAAATTTTCAATCTGCTTTCTTCAGTTTGCCAGAAACACGTCACTCTCGATTTGAATCAAACCTATTCCATACAGTCACCAGAATTTCCTCTGCCATACCATGCAGGCCTACGTTGTTCATGGACAATAACAACAATTAGGAATGACACCTGGTTCAAGATTGATACAGTGACACAGGGAAGTGATTGTCTGACTTCCTTTGAAAGTAATTTTAAGACCGATTTGTGCTCAAAAGCCAAGAGAAACGAAAGTCTTGTTTTGCCAAATAACTCTTTGTACGTGAATTTCTCCTCGATAAAAACGGGTCCATCTTCTTATATACACTTGGAGGGTGAGTTAATTTTATAAAATCCTAATAACTATATTTAAAGTAACTTTTGGAAGATAAAAATTAATTTTTGTACATTTTTTTATATGGTTGTTAATTTGTTATTTTTCCCGAAGACAATTCATACGAGGGCTGTTCAATAGATAATGTCATCGGTGCTCGGAAAGAAACAAAAAAAAAAAAACGCTTTTCAATGATTGAGCCTTAATAGTTTCATTTAAATATTCTCTTTTAATTAAAACACATGTCCGTAACATTTTTCTCCAATTTCTGATTGTTTTCAGAATACCCTTTTTTGAGTATGACCCTTCGTATACTGGAATATGGCATATCCTATGATTTCCTTGACTTGTTTCTTGCATGAAAGGTGTTTTTTCAAGTTTGGAAAATGAAACAAGTAAAAGGATGAAAGATCTGGCGAATATTGTTGGTGTGACAATACATTAACTTTCCGTTTATCCCATAAACACCTTAACTCTTCATGGCGTGTGGGTTTGGACGCTGTCATTAAGAAATTTAATGTAGGGGATTCCTGATTCTGGTTCCATCTTCTCATAAACCTTTCGATTTTTTTGCAAAAAAAGTTGCTTTCTAGACTTCTACAGAAATTGAACTTCCTCCCCAAATGAGCATTTGAACAACAAGATCACTGATATTTATGAAAATGGCATATAAATCCGTTTTTGTGCTTTTGCAATTCTTTGCTCTTCTCAGACCTTGGCTGTTTTTGTGTATCTCATTTGTTTTGATGGTTTAAAGCAATGGATTCAAGTTTCACTATATATTTGAAATTCAGGCAAACTTGGATAACTACATTTTTTTGATTTTTTAAAATAATTGTTTAGATATTCTATTTTCACTCATTTTTCAAAACATAGGATGACCATTGAGTACTTTTTAAGTTTTTTTTACTGTCAAATGTTTCTGCAAAACAGTGTGAACTACCTCCAAAATGATGCCTATGATAGCAAATTTGCTATATGTCTTAAAGTCAATCAATTATCATCAGTGATAATTTGTTGGATTTCTACAAAAAGTAAATTGGTTGTTGTAAGTCTTTCTCGCCAAGGACGATGCTCATTTTTGATGCCCATTATATTATTTTTGTTTATTGAAATCAACCTGTTCATATGTCTATAAAACAGACATTGGTTGCTATAAATTTCACATATTGCAGTGAATATTTCTTTGGGATTCTTAACGAGTTTTACAACAGCTTTCATGAAGCATTTGATTTCACTCTAGTTTAATGATTCCTTACCATTCATTTTTAACGCAGTGTCTCGAATAGCCCTTGTTTTTCAGCTTCTCACAATGAAATTATTTGATGAAAAGTGGTCACAAAACTGTAATTAATTAAAGATTCAATCATGAGAGAAAGTCAAACTCAATGTCATATTATTTCTATGTTGTATGTCATAGAGTTCGGGGCATTATTTATTGAATAGCCCTCGTATTGTTTAGACTTTGCTTATATTTATTCATTCTAAAAGGTTACGTCTCTTTGTTGATAATAGTCATACCTAAGTTACGCCCGCCTACAAACCTGTCCGCAACAGCATTACGGGACTTCATACAAATCGACTGGTTTTGGAATGGTACAGACTTTGATGCCCTTGTATGTGTGATCGAATATCTAGTATATCCTTCCACTATAAATTACCAAACATTGGTCAACTGCAGTGATAATTCGTTCACATTGAATATCAGTCTACAGAGGGGCAGGTTCTTCCAGATTAGGATGTTTGCAAGGACATCTTTCTGGGAAAGTGAAAAGTTGAATTATGTAAATCTTACGTTAGGCAAGTGTCTACACTTATTCAAAATGTTGATCAGTTTTGTTGGGTGTAAAGTAAAAATTACTAAAACAGAGAAAAAAAGTTTTGATTTGATTTAGGACATCCGAGACTTTGTACATATACATTTTTAGTAGAAAACATTATCAGCCTTTACATTCTATCATATACTCTTGTCCGAGAATAATTTTTGTTTTTGTATTGTAGAATGTCAAAATGAAGTTTTTCTCCGGGACAAGAACGAAACAGCCATTCTTTCAGAAGGTTACCCATATCATCTACAACCATTTTCTTCCTGTCAGTGGGACATAAAGACGTCGGCGGATAAATACATAAAATTTACCATCCGGGACTTTAATCTGTGCTCGAATTCAAATATCTGTCGGACAACATGTCTTAAAATTGACAAGGAAATAAAACTTTGTCCAGGTTCTTCCATTGAAAAAACGTATTTGATACAGAAAAACACAACCTTCATTATGTTCAATTCCACTGAAACATTAAATGGGAGGGGTTTCAACCTGTCTGTCAAAGCTGTTGGTAAGCATGTTTACAGAATTTGCTCTAAAAGTATGCAGTATACATGTATAATAATTATGTATATATTATTGTTGTTTGTCAGCTTCAGATTTTTAGATTGTTTTTAGGTCACCTGAGTAAACTCAGGTGACCTATTGCTATCTGTTTGCGTCGTTCGTCGTGCGTCGTTCGACGTATGTTAACATTTGAACTTATTAGCTCACCTGAGCCGAAGGCTCAAGTGAGCTCTTCTGATCACATTTTGTCCGTCGTCCGTCCGTCCGTCTTTTCACATTTTCGACTTCTTCTCAAGAACTAATGGGCCAATTTTAATCAATCTTGGTACAAAGCATCCTTAGGTGAAGATGAGTTAAAAATTGTTAAAATGAAGGGCCAAGTCCCCTTACAAGGGGAGATAATTAAGAAAAGACAAAAATAGGGTGGGGTCATTAAAAAATCTTCTTCTCAAGAACCACTGGGCCAGGAAAGCTGAAACTTATGTGGAAGCATTCCTGGGTAGTGTAGATATTAAATTATTAAAATGATGACCCCCGGGGGTAGGGCGGGGCCACAATAGGGAATATAAGTTTTACATAGAAATATATAGAACAAATATTTAAAAATCTTCTTCTCAAGACGCACTGGGCCAGGAAAGCTGAAACTTATGTAGAAGCATCCTTGGGTAGTGTTGATATTAAATTATTAAAATCATGACCCCCGGCAGTAGGGCGGGGCCACAATAGGGAATCCAAGTTTTACATAGAAATGTATAGAACAAATCTTTAAAAATCTTCTTCTCAAGAACCACTGGGCCAGGAAAGCTGAAACTTATGTGGAAGCATCCTGGGGTAGTGTAGATTTTAAATTATTAAAATCATGACCTACTGGGGTAGGGTGGGTCCCCAATAGGGAATCCAATTTTTAGAAATATATATAGGAAAAATCTTTAAAAATCTTCTTCTCAAAAACCACTGTTTCAGGAAAGCTGAAACTTATGTGAAAGCATCTGGGGTAGTGTAGATTCTAAAGTATTAAAATCATGAATGGGGAGGGTGTAGGGGGGGCATGATAGGTATAGCAAGAGGGGAAATCTGGTAAAGAACTTCATCACCCAAGTTACTCAGGTGAGCGATGTGGCCCATGGGCCTCTTGTTCAGCTTCTTCTCTGCAACCACTCAACCAATTTCCACCAAATTTTACACAAAGCATCTACTGGTGAAGGGGAACAAAAATATTGTGAATTCCATGGTCCCTGCCCCTCCTGGGGCCTGAGGGGTTGGGCCCAAACCACTAAAATTAGTGCAATCTTTAAAAATCTTCTTCTTTACTCCTGGACATCAAGCAGTCAAAATGTTAGCATGAATGGAATGACCATTGAAACCTCTATGAAAATTGTGAAATTCATGGCCCAAGGGTCAGGGGTTCTAGTGCTAGGGTTGGGCTCTATTGATTATATAGTTAAAATGCATTATTTCTTTAAAAATCTTCTTCTCTACTCCTGGGTATTAAATAAACTAACTAAGGACATAGTTATGATGAGGAAAAATACCTTTTGCAAAATTGTGATTTTTATGGCCCCAGGGTCAGGGGTTCTGGTGTTAGGGCTGGGCTCTATTGATAATATAGCGAAAATGCAGAATTTGTTTGAAAATCTTCTTCTCTCCTGCTGCGTATTCAACAAACGAACTAAGTATATAGTTATGATGAACAAGAATGATTCTTCCAAAATTGTGAATTTTAAGGCCCTAGGGTCAGGGGTTCTGGTGTTAGGGCGGGGCTCTATTGATTATACAGAGAAAATGCAGAAATTGTTTGAAAATCTTCTTCTCTGCTGCTGGGTATCCATCGATTTAATTAAGTATATAGTTATGATGAGCAAGAATGCTTCTTCCAAAATTGTGAATAGTATGGCCCCAGGGTCAGGGGTTCTGGTGTTAGGACGGGGCTCTATTTGTTATATAGAGAAAATGCAGAAATTGTTTGAAAATCTTCTTCTCTGCTGCTGGGTATTAAGTAAACTAACGTAGCATATAGTTATGATGAGCATGAATGCCTCTTCCAAAATTGTGAACTTTTATGGCCCCAGGGTCAGGGGTTCTGGTCTTAGGATGGGGCTCTATTGGATATATAGTGAAAATACATTATTTCTTTAAAAATCTTTTTCTCTGTCCCTGGGTATTTAATAAACTAACTAAGTACATTGTCATGATGAGGAAGAATGCTATTGTCAATTCTATGACCCAAGGGTCAGGGGTTCTGTTGTTAGGGCGGGGCTGTATTGGTTATATAGAGAAAATGCAGAAATTGTTCAAAAATCTTCTTCTCTGCTCCTTGGTATTAAGCAGATGAACTACCTATATAGCTATGATGAGCAAGGGTCATTCTTCCTAAATTGTGAATTTCAACGCCCCTGGGTAAGGGGTACCAAAAGGGGGGGGGTCTACTTATATACTGAAAATGAATTAATTGATTGAAATCTTCTCCTTTGTATTACATTTGTAATCAAATATTTTCGATAAGCAAGTTAGAGTGCCTTTTCCAAAATTTTGAAATGTGTGGACCAATCAATCATGTGTGGTATGGCATATTATTGCTGAATATTTGATTTCGAAATGCATTTTTTTGTTCCCCCACTCTGTCTATGGGTATTAAGTAACCAAACTAAACATGAGTGTATAGTTATTATAATTAGCAATGGTGCCGCTTTCAAAATTGTGAATGCCATGATGTCTAGTTTAAACAGTGTTAAAACATGAACCAAAGTCAAGGGTTGTAAAGTTGTTGCATGATGCTCAGGTGACCTATAAGGCCCATGGGCCTCTTGTTTAAAACAGCATGATATTTTTACAAATGGCGTGAACTAAAAAATATTTTTTATTAATCATTTTTAAGAAACTTTATTTGCCTTTTACTTTGAATTTGATACGTATTTCATTCTGTTTCATTTAAAGACAGCATCAAGCACTTTATAGTCCTATAGTACTTTACGGCTTGTGCAGTATATTTATATTTTCTCTAAACCTTTATACAAAATGTTGTCCAGCCCAGTCGTTCTGTGTTCACTTAAAAATTGGTATTTATTTGTTTGTCATTTTAAAAAACATTGTAGATTCTCCTCCTCCCTTTCTGGACCAATTTTTTGTCGAGAGCAAACATGACTTTATTAAGATAACATGGCGTCCTTACGATGGAGAGAAAGACCTGTTGCGTTACCTCGTCACCTACAACGTCATACCTGACGTAGGGCATCACGTGGTTCCTGTTCGGGTCGGTCGCCCTTCAACAACATACGTCATCGACACAAATACTCATCAAGGCCAATTGTTTGCCGTGAGATTATCTTATCTAAGCGAGGGCGGGGAAGGGATACCTTCCAATGTAAAAATTATCAGAGCTTGTAAGCACTTTTATCCATTTCAAGGATGAATTTTCAATCCAATTGAACAGAGCAGCAAGAAATTTAAAACATACTAGTATTGAGCACACAGAATTATTATTCATTATCCGTTTGTGAACCAATAAAAACAAATGGAACACTAAAAAACTCCTGCAAAAGAAAAGAAATAAAGTTTTTATGAGAAAATATTTAAATCCAAAATATAATTTTAACAATTGCATTGAACTGATTATATCAAAGTGGCTAACCTGTCTTTAATTGCCATACGTACTGTGGGAGAAATACATCAAGATCACCAAATGAATCATTTTGTATAGAAACAGATAGGAAGTTGAATAATAAGATGGGAAAAATGTTATATACTTCTCCACTTTTTTATAGCATGTGGACGTGCAGTGCGACTGCGCCATAATCAAACCTTCACCATACGGTCGCCGGAAGTCAATGGTAGCTATCTTTCAAATGTCATTTGCAGATGGAATTTACAAGCGGATCACGGACTTTGGTATAAGGTTAATAAAGTATCATTATCTTTCAATCAATATGTAACTGACATCTTTGTTTCTCAATGACCAGAGAAAAGAATCATCGATGGGTTATAATGTTCCTCTTACTCTCATTTCTCTCTAGTATATACCCTAGCTTTAAGAGCTTACAAAATTTTAAGCACCGACGCAAGTGCTATTCTTAACGGTCCTGATATAGTTAAATCAACTTCTGTTAAAAAATCCTCAATATTAAATACAAGATCTGTCATAAAACCAGTTAAGTTTTTTCTATCGTCTTTATAGCTCTTGCAATTCTTTGTTCCCCGTGTAATGGATCATGGATTTATAACTTGTTTGTTTTTTGATTATTGAAATGCGATTTGTGTCACAGTGTGCTCGAGGACAGAACATCCCACCCCAACCCGGTGCCTTTTCAATTTATCTGTCTTGTAGATGAATATTTGATATTTTTTTTACATACTCATTGATGCATGTGGTGTATGGATTAGGTCAGGGGCTCTACGTCGGTGCTAGCTTATGACTTGAACAAGTATCCATGCTAAGAAAATCTTATTTGATTTTACAGTTAGATATCGTAAAATTAGACATTGAAAACTCCACATTGTGTCAAAAAGATTATGTGGAAATTCCCGGAAAGCGGAGGTTTTGTGGAAACAAGCCTGATTCCGTTATAATAAAAGATCACAGAGCCGCCATTACTTTTGTTACAGACGATAGCAACTATGCGACAGGATTTACAGCGATGGCTACAGCAGTTTGTGAGTGAAGACAATAGCAATAGACCCTATAGTTTATTAATCCTGAAAATTTTTCCTGCTTTGACTTACCAGTTTAAATCCTCCCATTTCTTATTTGCAATGTATTTGGAATTCTTCAACGATTCTTTGGAATCCCAAAAGATACCAGCAGTACTTTTTAATGAACAGATACAATTTCTCCCATGTGTTTTACGGTATTATTTTTTGCTCGAATTTAACAATAATCCCACGTTAAATTGTTTTATTTCTTTTTTCAAGATCCACCATCGGGCCGTCCTAGAAATTTAACTTTAACGCCAGCACGGTATGGGTTCTTTTCGGAGTGGGAGAAACCTTTTTTGAATCCTAGTTATGTGAGGGGATATCGGATAAATTACAGACGACTGGAGAAGACCGAGGTCTCTGAAATGGTTGTACCATCCAATGATAATAGTGCTTTTATAAACACTCTGTCCTTTCCTGGAAATTTGTTTGAAGTATGGATGTCTGCAATTGGTGAGGCTCAAGATAGCGCGTTAACTGAAAAGAGGCAAATTTTGTCAGGTAGAACACCGCTTTGCTATTAATTATCATCATCTTAATAACATATAAGGAAAAGTGATACTATAATTGAATACAAATATTGCTATTATCGTTTTAAAAGGCAAGCTAGATGAATCCTGAAATTGTAACAACTTTATCGGGAAAGGTTACATGATTCTTGAATTTTAAAACAAATTGTCATCATCTTACGAGGGACGTTCAATAAATAATGTCATTAGGTCGATGACATACAACATAGAAATCATATGACATTAAGCTTGACTTTCTCTCATTATTGAATCTTAAATGAATTGATAACAGTTTATGTGACACTTTTCATCGCATTATTTCATTGCTGGAAGCTGGAAAACAAGGGCTAGTCGAGACACTGCGTTAAAAATGAATGGTCAAGAATCAGTAAACTAGAGTAAAATTAAACGCTTCATTTAAGCAGCTGTAAAACTTGTTAATATCCCCAAAATATATTAACTGAAATATATGAAATTTACAGTAACTAATGTCTGTTTTATACGCACATGAACAAGTGGATTTCAATAAACAAAAATTGTAAGATAATGGGTTTCAAAACTGGGTACCGTCCTTGGCAACAAGGACATACAACAACCACTGTATATTTGCAAAAATTCAACAAATTATCACTGATTATGTTTTATTGACTTTTAGACACATAGCAAAATTGATAGACATCATTTCGGGTAGTTCACACTATTTTAAAGAAACATTTAATAGTAAAAAAGTTTAATACTCAATGGTCACCCTATATTTTGAAAAATGAGTAAAAACGACAGCGTGTAGGAATATCTGAACAATTATTTTTAAAAAAAAATCGAAAATTGTACTTATCCACGTTTTTCTGAAATTCAAATAGATAATGAAGCTTGAATCCATTTTGCTTTAAACCCTCAAAACAAATTTACAATAAGATGCACTTGACAAAAATGCAAAGTCCAAAGAAGAGCAAAGACTTGCAAGAGCACAACAACAGTTTTATATGCTATTTTCTTAAATATTAGCGGTCTTGTTGTTCAAATTCATATTCGGGGAGGAAGTTCAATTTCTGGGGGAGTCTATTAAACAAATTTTTGCAAAAAAATTGAAAGGTTTATGAGAGGAAGGAAACAGAATGAGGAGTCCACTACATTAAATTTCTTCATGACAGCGTCCAAACCCAAAGGCCATGAAGATTAAAGGAGTTTTGGGGATAAACAGAGAGTTAATGTTTTGTCACACCAACAGAATTTGCCAGATCTTTGAACCTTTGACTTGTTTCATTTCCAAAACTTAGAAAAACAACCATCAGAAAGAAAAAAACAAGTACAGCAAATCATAGGATATGCCATATTCCAGTATATGAAGGGTCATGAGTTCTAAAAACAATTAAAAATTGAATAAAAATGTTACGGACATGTGTTTTAATCAAAAGAGAATATTTTAGTTAAATCATGAAGACTAAATTATGGAAAAAACTTTTTTTGTTTCTTTCCGAGTCCCAATGACATTATTTATTGAACGTCCCTCGTATTTGAAAACAATGTTAATTGATTCTGAAATGGTATCATTTAGACTTTTGATCTGATTAGGAAATGTGGCTAAGATCATAAAGATACGGTTCAAGAGATCTCCAGAATGAGTTTAATGTGTTACAAAAAAATTCAGGTACCAAAAGAAAAACATCCGACACGAAGCAGCAGTATTTTCGTCAAGTTTTCATTCGAGTGACGTAAACTGTTCTTTCAATATCAAATGCATAAATGGAACATTTGTTTACCATCTTGGACGTTCTCCTTTAAAATGTATATACAACTGTTAGGATCTTGTCATTATTTTACGTGATATTGATGTGAAAAATAACATTATAATTTAATTTCTCGTTACAGACTGTGGAGAATTTTTGAAAATAGATAAATCCGTCCATCTGATCAGTACGCCATTCTACCCAGAATTCCCCAATGTCACGTGTCAGTGTTCGTGGACCTTGTCGTCTTTGCATAATTTATCATTCTCATTCTTGGAAATTCATCGTTATGACAACCATACCACAAACTCAACAGAAGACGAGTTTCTTATCTTAAACAATACAAAGCATTCTTTTGCGAATATAAGCGAAGGAATGCAATTTTTATTACATAAAAATGAAGTTGAAAAGATAGAGATTCGGACTAAGAAGACAAGTTTTCTAGCAGCAATAAAACCAGTACATGGTAAGTGATGATTATCATCTTTAATTCTTGAAGGTTCATCAATACTCTAATAAGAGAGATAACTCTTATTGATATTATCATTCCTTTACATACTGTATTCAAAAATATATAAATGGTTCCTCTTGGCAAGAAATTAACTCCCTCAGTGGCTTTGCAATCTTGGGAAATAGATTTCACTCTCGTTTGGAACATCGATTTGCAATTTGGGAAACCAAATAAGGGAGAAAGGTTAAAATGTTAGTGTAGTGCAGGATTACGTTATATTTTCGTTAAATCAATTGTATTTCCATGGTGTTTTTGGATATATATGTGATTGTCTTTATTGACAGATGAGGAAACCTCCGTTAGAAGCTTCAAACGCTCATCATCTAGTGTCCAAAGACTTGACCCTAGCTGACTAGTGCATGTCACATTGGGAGTAATTCTCTTGATAAAAACACTCTAAAATAATAATGTTGAGATGCTTGATGGAGTAGGGAATCTGTCTTAAAATGAAGATAAAGGATTTTTTTTATAATCCACAAACTTAGTAATTAAACAATCATGTACTGTTATTGTTGCTTATATATCCTTCATACCATTATAAGAAGAAAACAAATTTTTACTCTTGCAATAAAAACCTACTCTTGATACTTTCGGTGAACCTACTTCACAGTTGCAAAAGGGGCTTAGATCAGCTTATCAGAAAATCTTCCGGTTTCTGAATCCAGGTAATACAAGTAGTAATGTAATTCAAATACATCCATATTTACAACATTCTGAACAAACATGTTAACACTTCACGGTTGATGAATTAAAACATAAGCAATAATTTTTGAAATACAATTACCATCACATTTCAAATACATTTAAGATATGCATATATATGCCAAAATTTGTTGGCCCAAGTTTATGATAAAGTAAACAAAGTGAATTACTTAATGATAATAAAACAAGAAATTATTGAACAAATTAGAAAGCAAGACAGACATTTAAAAAATTAACTATAGATTGCATTGATTGCCAAATGTATACAAATACAAAGAAGACCAAATTAATTATACATAAGCAAAATCTTACTTACATGTAAACTGAGCTCGTCCGCAGTACAATGTAACTTTATTACAACTTTTAACTTTACAGATTATGAGTAACTTCAGATTACTTATTTAGCCTTACACATGACTAATTCCAGGGTCACTGAAAAGACTGCATAATACAACATGGGTGACAGTAGCAAGAGTAGTGATACGTATAAAATAAGGAGACGACAAACACTTCAAGCTTAAAAGTCCATCGATCTAATACAAAATGGGAGCAGAGCAAACACAGTCCTCTTAAATCATAAGGTGGGATAAGGTAACATGGATAATCAAACATCCCCGGTCACCTGGTATATATTTGGTGCAGGGTTTACACTCCTACTGACTGCAAGTTCCTACTTGAAAAACCCGTCAAATGACATCGATACCTGCACACGTCACTTTGAATTGAAAGTGTAATTATCAGTGTATCAATAAATGTTTGACTGGAAAATGTTCACCCCATTTAAGGTCCTAGCTGTTGGTCCTGAAAATTTAAAATCATTCGGTAAAGAAGCAAGATCTGCGAAACAATGGGTTGTTGTGTACACCGTCAACCCTTTTATGTTCTATGTGTCCATCATTTAATCTTGGACTATACTGATCTTGCATTATATTAAATCCTGGAAGAATCGTCCATGAAGGTTAAATGGTACAATCGTAGGAAGTACCGCTGAATTGACCATCTCCATAGTAGTGGCGTTTAGGAACGCCAAATAACTTGAATTTGTTATTCCGTCCAAAACTGGAAGAACGAGATATCCATCATCTTCAGATTTGCCACTATGTGTTGGGATAAACCACGCCTCTACTGCATAATGATTGGATACTTTCCACATTCTGTCCTGGCCCCGCCCACACAGATCTTTTTTGACTAGTGCTATATCACTCAAGGAAACATTATTGCATTTCAAAGCTACTCCATACGCAAAACAGTACGATTTATATCGATAGTTTTCGTTAATGGCTGGGAGGTCAAGTGCTGAGGCACAGGGTGCATTTCGGGAATCTTCAAACGTTTTCCATTCGACTGTTAAGGTATTCAGATTTATGAAGTATCTTCTTACAGCTGCCCTTGTGTCAAATTGGTTCCTTTTAATTGGATCCAATAAGTTTCTCATTTCTAGGTTCTCAACGAAGTCTGGATTCGGGTAGGACGAAATATCCACGATGATGTCCGAATTATCTTTCTCAAAAGCATTTATCTGATGCATCATGAACACATTGTCTGTTTTTAACGTGTATACCTCACCAGATTTTATATGTACAACATATAAAGTTGTAGGAGAGTTAGGTTCCCAGTCTAAGGCTTTCTCTGGGATAGCATGCTGAATCATTTTCATAACATTGATGTAATATGGACAAGCAAAAAATATAACGTAATTTTCTGTTGCAGCGAAAGAATGCATATAAGGAATGCGATCTACCTCCCACGATGTAATTATCTCCCTATTTTTGGTCGATTTTATTCTCACCAGTGAAATTTTGCTTTTCATTCCTGGAATGACATTTACACTGGATAAATAGGTCAGATGATTTGATGTTCCTGATTCCGGAAGGGAATGTGCAGAGGAAAGGAAATTCAAAAATGAGAAAGCTGACGGACTTTTGTGAACGTGAACAGGAGCCGAGAATGAAGACAAAGTTTGCAGGGAGTCGGAATCGATTTGATAGACTTTCCAGAAGTCATTTAATGCTACAATATTTCCATCTCCGAACTTGTAAACATTTACATTCATGTTGTCAATACCTCTTACGAGGGCCTTCAGCCTTTGAAGGAAATTGAATGGCGGATCCACAGATTCAAACAAAAGATAGGGTGCAATATCATGTTTGTCCATTGATTCTTTGTAGAATTCGCTTTGAAGGAATTTGGTAGAAAAGAATGAGGTGCCATTTCCTGGAAATTGCCAGCTGCTTAGTTTTGCAAAGGCGTCGAATGCATGCGTAAAACGTCTGCCGCCAACCTCATATTTTCCAAGTCCGTTTCGTATCTGAATAAGTCGTACAAAATATTAGTTTCACGTCACTTAGAGACAATAAATATAGCAGTATCTTTACAAAACATCAATTTAAGATATCTTTTGCTACATTATCTTCTCAAGCCAAAAATAATTACAAAATTAAATGAAAGTAAGTGATCAATGCGGTGAAATAGGTGTTATTTTTATGTTCTTTAAATCTTTCAAGACTAAATTATCCAAAGTGTTTGATTTGAATAAAACTGTGTATCGCAGTAGTGTCAGGAAAATTCCTGTAACTTACTTGTTTACTTATAATAAAACATATCCCTTCTTTTCACAGCACCGTATGTAAGAGTAGCGTATCAGAAAAATGTGGCTAGCGAAGATGGTAGACTGGAGAGGTAGAATATTTGAACAGGAAAAATCCAACTTTGTAAAATGTTTGCTTCTCTAAAAGGTTCTTTGACATCTTTATTTATTGCAACATAAAACTTACCAATGTGCCTTTAAGCCAAGATGGTAGTGGTTTCTTGAAGTAAATCGGAATGTTTTCCATTTCCTGTTCATTTGAAGCAAAGAAAAGATCAAATCCCGAGTCTGCTTTTCTTCTGAGTAATTCCTTCTCAGTTTCTTTCTTCAAAACCGTTGTTGACGCTGTACGCATCAGTGCCATACAAAGAACTAAACATACGAGCACGCTGAATTGTATTTTACGCATCGTGTTCAATTGTCAATTTACAGTTTACCTATCTGGAAGGAACAAAGTTTACAAATTATTACCTAGGACATTATGAATTTATACCCTATTTTTTCCAGAGAGTCAGCGTTGATAAACTTTGTCACCTTGTCAGCCACTCGACCTCTAGAATTACAAATAAGGGTTTGTCAGATTATCATTTAGTCAAAGTAGACTGAGGCAAAATTTGATAGATATTTAAAAAAAGAAAAAAACCTAAAAAAGAGTTAAATATGTGTTTATTGCTTTCTTTATGTAAAGATCTCTTCGGAGGACGTCCATATTTTTACAACTAGATAGTCATAAAAAAGGAATAAAATACCTGACAAGTTCGTATATGTTTTTCAAAAAAACCCACCATAATATTGTATTATAATGATCTTGCCTTGTTTTATACAGAAAAAAAAACGAAACTGATGCTTAATCCGTACTCTGTATATTTATGCAAAATTAACAAACTCATCTTGCTAAATTCTAGAGTTAATTAAGTCCATGATTTATTTACTATAAATGCACTATATGCATTGTATGTAAGTTATCAATGATTGTAAAATACCTCTTGATGTATCATAGTAAACTTCATACGACCTTTGTCAGAAGAGTTTTGTGTAACTTATTTACTGAAAGATAAAAAAGTCTGAGTGATTGCCTTGAGACGATGTAGTTATTTAACAGATGTCTAAATTGCATAACGTGTCTAAATCAATTCTTAATTTTTATTAAGCTAAATTAATCAACGATTTTTTAAAACAAATGTTAAAATGCATGTTAAAAAGAAAACAATTGTTGAGTGTAAATTGACCTCTTTATACCTGAGCAGTGTATTGTGACCTTGGCAATGTAAACAAATGCAATTCAGTGGTACTCTTCATATCTTAAACGTCAACAAACCCGAACGGTATTCAAAATGAGAATGACACGTATGCATTGCAAGTTACATCACAACACTACACACCACAACACTTTGCATGATGTATATGTACCAGTCGACAGGAGATGTTTTCTTTTAAATGGCATCTGATCCCACTCCTGATGTTTTGAGGGGTCAGTGTTTGATCTGCTCTGAATTTTATAATTGACTTTTGAGCTTAATTACTGTACGCCCTTCTCATACATAATCATGATATATAATAAGGTTTATAATAATAGTATAAGTTTTACATTATTATTTAAGTTATATTATTAGACATTAGACGAGAAAAAAATAAGTCCTCATTAGAAAGATCTGCTTCACAAGTTTATTGGGTTCAGTTACATACTGGGTAAGTGTGTGCATTGAAACAATCACAAATGATAACTCTTCTTAATAATAGAAGTATCATTAAGTGTTGCAATTGCAACTTTTAATGCCATAAACTATTGTATTAATAGTAGATTTCTCAACCAAAAATGATAAATCGCCCCTTAATGAAAGAATTACATCATTCTGGTGTTAAAAATGACTTGTGAACTAATAATACAAAATTTATGACATTAAGTTTTGACTTGTATTGCAACACTTAAAGCAATATCATTAATCGGCGTTTTATCAATTGCTGTTGTTCCAGAGTATGACTGAGTAGATTGGATATCTTTTGTTTGCTGCAACCATGGTTTTTGATGAAAATATTATACCGCATGAACTCATTTGAAAGTAATCCTAAATTAATTCAATCATGCTAGTAAAAATGACATAAATAGCTGGTGAATTTAAACCACAGAATAAAACATCCATAAGGTACATCCATCGTATTTCATGATACCTGAAAAAAATTATTTTGGAGAAGTAGATGTTTACATGTAAACATAAAGGTTAATTCAAAATCAAAAAGTTTTTCTCCCCATGTGTTAAGGGTGGGCTTATTGTTCTATGATGGTCATCAAAGTCATTTGGCTGGGCGTGGTAATATAGACTTGGCTTCAGGTCATAGTACATTCCAGTTAAGTTTCCAAATAGTGCTTCTGTGGAGTATAGATCAGTTGCTTTTGCTGCAGATTCTAGGAACTTGAAGTCACATGCTTGAGGCGACGTAGATGAGCTTAAACCAGCTAAAACAAAGGAAATGGATATGAAAATGATAAGTACCGTGGTTTACCATGGATTTGAAAGAAAAATTCGTGTGCATGTTTTGAATGCAATGCTGGATATATATATACCTTTCGAATCTTTTGAGTTCATCATGACTTTCATTTGTTTTCTCCATTTTGCTCTCCGATTTTGGAACCAAACCTAAAACAGTAAAGGCTCAACTTAGAAAATTAACTTTTCGCCATTATTTACACAGAGAATTGTCTACGGATTTTCCCCCTGATCATGACTATACGTTGGATGTGGCTGGTCGGCAAGGGATGCCCTCTACTCCATAGCACCTGATCCCAACCTCTGCTCCTGGTTTATATTGTTTAAATGGTCTTTTGGGTATAAAAACTGTTCGTTATCTCCATATTTCATATTATCTACATGTAGATGAAAGAGATGAAAATATCAACTCAGCAAGCTAATTAATTAAGTTCGACAGCTAACCTGTACTCTTGATTCTGTCAGATCAAGTTTCGTAGCAAGCAGCTCTCTTTGGAATACATCTGGGTATCGAGTCTGTAGGAAAGCGCCCTCTAGTTCACATAATTGACCTCTGGAGAAAGTCGTCCGGAAGCGCCGCTGTGTGGGACTGGACAGGAAGACTTTAACATAATTGATATTATGAGAGAATTTTGATGTTATATAATGATTTCTCGTTTAATGACGTATAGGATCTAATTAATGAAAATAAAGTGTTGAAATAATGCATCTGTCTCGGACAGATGCATATTATTTTCAGAATATGAAGGTACAAATCAAAAATAGAAAGATTAAATAGAAAACTAAAATTGTGCAGCCTTGTTATTTCATTGCTTGAGCATGTTTACATTTTTGTTTGGTTAATTTACTTAACGCAAATGCACAATTAACAGATGAATCGTTAAAAAAGAAAAAGAAAACGAGAGGCAAAAAGAAAAGTACGCTGTTAATGTTAAATAAATTAGAAACAAACAACAAATAGTATTAAAGAGGCATGAACACAGTTTCAGCTAAAATTTCAAAATTTATATTTCCATTTTTACAAATATTTAACTAGGGTCTTTCTAATGATCATCAAAAATATGAACGTCAGTTGTCGAGATACAAGACAGATTTAAAGCTCCAAACGTTTGTTATGTAAACAAGGTATATGTCATGTTTTTGTTTAAACAGGTTAATATACTAATATATGTTCGTTCAAAGTATATAATTTCAAATAAAAGTTAATTTTAAATATGATTCCACAGTTACTGTTGATTTGCTAAATTTCATATTTTTATAAATATTATATTTTCTATATGTAAACAAAAACAAGGCACGAGCCTTGTTTACACAATGGAGAACTTTAAGTTCTGTGTCTTGTTTGTTAATCAACAAATGATATTCAAATTTTTGCTAATCAATAGATTATTCATTAGGTAAGAATTGTAAACATTAAAACTGGCTTAAAAAATTCAGTTGAAACTGCGTCCCTGCCCCTTAAGATAATATTGATAAATTAAATTCACAGAAACCTTAATTATCTGGCTTATTTTAAAGACGTTAAATTCTCGCGCGAATTCAAATGCCTAAATTCATAAAAAAAGAACAACACCTCCGTGACTTTATTAAAATCTTTACCTTTATTTGTTAGAGATCCTTTTACATCGAGTTTGCTTTCTGAAATGAAAAAATAAGATAACGAACAGTATGTGATTGATTTAAAAAAATAATATAGAAAATATTATAAATCAGTGAACACAACATTCCACACCACCCAAGAAAATTCAAAAGGTGGGATCAGATGTCTATATAACAGGAGATAACATCCCCTATCGTCTACTGACCAAACCCACCGTGAGATCTATGCTATTGTATGATCATTAAATAAATTTTTCCGTACTTATAATAATAAGGAGATGTTGCAAGGATTTCTAATGACCTTGTCAGCAATTATACTGTAGATTCCTAATTATACGCGAGGAATTAATTATAGCTTATTTTCGCGAGAAGTATCACTCGTGAAATAAAATTACTTGCTTTTATTTTTATGGTACTAAAGTCCATGTAAATTCTCTTAATGAACTGTTCATTCGCGAATAATTATTCTCGAGATTTGACGTTAAAAAGCCATTAAGCGATAATAAGTACTCGCAAAAAATAAGAAGTTTACAGTAATCTGTTATTAGGTTATATGATTGGCCATTGCAAGCCCTTTACTTTTATAATTTGTGTAAAACAATCAGCCTGCAATTTCATATCTGTTGTAATTCATTAGCATGCACAAACTAGTAAATTACAGTACACATTCTCAAACTAATTAAAATTCTTTAATTGTTCTATGATTAAAGACTTTACTCAAACTGATGCTTACCTTTTGATGTTTTACTGGAATATGCTCCCTTTTGATTATCAGTGTTGGTTGTATAAAATACAGTTTGTTTTTCTCGCTCTTCAAATACAATGCCCGATACCTCTGACGTCACAATTGTCGGAGAACATTGATGTATATTTGATCGAACAAGGAAAGTGTCGTTGAAAATTGATTTGTTATGGACATCCATAAATGCAAATTAAAAAAAACCTCTAATGCAATTTGGAGTCAGGTCTTTGATTTTCTGTCATTTTAGTTAATGAAATTTGATTTAATATTTCCCAGAATCATTTTTAAGACTTCAGTTCTTGAAGCTACATCCAATCATTTGACAGTAGTTATAAAGGGGATAATATCAAAATACTTATGAAAAGTAGAATGTGAAAAACTACACGTGAATTATTCTGCTGCTACTAAACATATCATGTAGAAAATAACTTTGGAGACAGCCCCTTATCGATGTCCAGGGAACGTTATATGGCCTCTGAATCAGAACCAAATCTCATTGTAACGCATTAATAAGTTTTCTTCGTAATTAAAGATGTCCTGCTCATTTGTTGGAATTAATACAGTCTTTTGTTGGTCTTCATCGTAACTAATGAATATCACATATCCTACATCTGCTTTAACGGGGGAAAATTATTCTTAAATCAGTGTTTAAAATCCTTTTTGCCAACGTTGATAAGTTTGTTCATATCTCATGCAAGTGTTTTACTAAGAAAACAACTATTCATAAATTTTAAGATTCGACTTTATGAAATATTAAAGTTTATAGTTTTCAGTACTTAAGAATGTGCGATAACTCATATTTCAGAAAATGTTATTAGAACATTCAGTTGTTATAATTTTAATTCCTTTGTACTGGTATTTAAGATGAATTTCCAACTTATTTAATTTCCCGCCAAAAATTTGTACTCGGAGAAGGATTTTTATTCAGGTGAAAATCATATACACGTCTTCCCATGAGTGAGATGACACAAAAAATTATCATATTATGTATTCAGGTGAATGAAGGATATGGATATAACGAACAGTATTCAGTCTCAAAGTCCATAAAACTACACACAATACAAAATAGAAGCAGAGCAAACACGGACCTCCGAAAAATCAGAGGTGGCATGAGGTGCCATGAAGGAGTGAGCATCCCCTGCTGATCGGTCACATCCACCGTGTGCTCCTTGTCATGATCGGGAAATAACGGAGAATCCGTCGCCAATTCAGTGTATAAATAATGGACTAACAATTAGTATGAAAAACGTCAGTCAGCATTTGACTCAATGATAAATTGTATTTGCTGACAAGGTCATTGTATCGACCATAGAACTTACGAAATGATAACTTTAAACGAGACTGCTTATATTTTGAATATAATTTTGGTAATTTGTCAACCACCTTATCGCACAATGATTAAAATCTTGTACCATTAATATCTTAAAAGTAATATTGGAATGTCAAGGTCTCTATGCACACCATGTATATAGACCGTTAATGTCTATTTTTTTTCTTTATACAATGCCTAGTTGTCTTTATGTCCAGTTTTGTAGATATAATGCCCGCTGATATATTTGCTTTCTTTACTGATTAGTGATACTACAGCTCAATATCCTTAATCACTGAAACGGAAAAATGTTTGCCGAAAAACGGAGAATAAAGAGACAAATATTTTTGTCGGTGTTTGACTTGAAAGTTAAATAGAGATATCGAGAAAAATGAAGAACGCGTGTTAATTATTTAAATTATTTGTTTTATAAATGATTAGTCCAAAGGGAAAAAGAGACATGTTTGCTCGTCTAATTTTAAACATTTCAGGTTGTCCAAAATCAATATGAAGGAACATTTTTTAATATAGCCTCATGTTAATCAGTACTTGGGTGTCAGAAACTGTGCAGCGAGACATTGTCTTCCGAACAAAGAATTTAGCAGACAGAATCGGACACCGTTGAGAAGACGACATGAATGTAATGATTTCGATTGAAGAAATACAATAGAGGATTTAAATATGTCTTGACCAAGTATTAGGTTACATTACTTTTCTCTTCTTAAATATAAAAAGCTTTGAAAATATTTATTTTAGTCTTGAAGGTGTCAATGCAGATTGTGATTGTCGCAATATTTCAATATGGAGCACCTTCTCTTCAAAATATTTTTAATTTGCTTTACGGAGGACTTTGTTTTCGCATATACTTTAACAAACGAGCAGAACTTGCATACAGCGCTGCTAACTGGATATAATAAAGATCTGCGACCAGGGACGGACAGAACTTATCCTCTTGAAGTAAACGCGACTTTTTACCTGTTTTCGATCAAGGAGTTCGATCTAGATACGGGAAAATTCTCTCTCACTGGTGTGTTTCAAGTCAACTGGTACGACGAAAGACTTTCCTGGGATTTAGCAACTTACAATCAGACAAACTCAACGTCCATCCCTCAGCAGAAACTATGGCTTCCTGATCTGATAAATGTAAATCCATACGAAAACATAAGGGGATTAGGAAGCGATTTGATTAAAGTGATCGTTTTCTATACAGGAATGTGCGACTGGTACGCCCTCCAAGCATTCGAAGTCATATGTGATGCTGATGTAACTAAATTTCCTTTTGATACCCAATATTGTACGTTAAAATTCTTCATTTGGGGTTATCAACCGAATGAAGTAAATGTGAATTTTATTTCATCAAAAATGATTCTAACATTGTATACCGAAAATGGTATCTGGGAAGTTGCAGATTCGATATGTCATACACAGTCAAACGTGTACGGTTATAAAGAAATAGTTGTTGGCTTGCATCTTAAGCGGAGAACTGCCTACTATGTTGTGAGTCTCGTTTTACCAATAACGACAATTGCAGGACTGATGGGGTTTGTTTTTCTTGTGCCCCATGATTCCGGCGAGAGACTTGGGTTCTCCATCACAGTGCTGTTATCTATTGTTGTGTATCTGACAATAGTCCAGGACATGCTTCCAGAAGCTTCAGAACCGAACATTTCCATTATGGGATACATTCTTGTTAGCTTCGTTCTCAGTGGCGCCCTTGTTGTCGTTCTTGTAATAATAAGTTTGAGGATCCAGAACTGTCCAGACGACAAGCCTATTCCACAAAGTGTTGCTCAAGTAGTTAGGTGTTGTCGCAGGAGGCGACAGAAGAAGAATAAAGACTCCGTAGAACCGATTAATGAAAAATGTGGGTCATTGGATGACGATGAAAGCGATGGACACGTGACCTGGTATGAAGTTGGAAAGTGCTTTGATTTCGTGTGTTTCACAAGTTTAATAACTCAGTTAATTGTAACGTGTGTAACGTATTTCTCCATTGTGTTGTCATAGTATATATTTATAAACATCCGAATTTAATAGACAAGTCTTTTCTAAATAAAAGAGTTACAGCGATATAATATTTATATTGTTAAAATATGATTCTAATGCAATTGTTTTGTAAAACACATTTTGATTGGCTAATGCACTAATGTTTGAAGCAGTAAAACGAGCATTAACGAGCGTGAAAGCTTTTTCATTGTGACGTCATAATAGAGCGACGCAAAAACAATGCTCCGTGACGTAATTTATGTAACAAAATTCAACAAAATAAGATGTAAACAACAAACAAAATGCACGAATTGCATTAGAATGGGAATAACTAATCTTCTAATTTGGTATTTGCGACTGTTAATGCTGATTTAACGGTCGCAAACATCCGTTTTACGCGTCGCCGGTAAAACTCAGTTTGCGACCGTTAAATCAGCATTAACGGTCGCAAATACCAAATTATAAGATAGTTATTCCCTAAATGTAAAGGTATAAGCTTAATTCGTTTTTATATAAAGATAGGGCTACTGAAAGGTGAGACATCGAAATCAGTTTTAGATTTAAAAAACCATTCTTAATTTATATCTGAAAAGCATACAATATGTCCATTATTGTTGTTTTTGAAGTCGGTAGCAATAAATCAAATATTTCATATCTCTTTAAATTACTTTTCAACATGTCTGAAAATCATGTTTGATAAACCTTGTTTCATAATTAAATATGATAATATCATAATTCAGATTTTATCAATATTGCCATTTAAGTAACAAAATTAGTACCCCGCACCCTACCCCCAAAATATCAATAAATCCAAGTAGGGCGCCATGATCTTGAGAAGGTCTTGATGAACTCTTCTTTGCATGCACAATATACATAAATGTATCCTGGCAATAAAACCGCTTCTTATAACATTATAGTCTGTCGGTGTAGTTTTATAATATATACATAATATTGTATTTTATCATATTGACTATCTTTTTGGCAGATTAATTCTTAAATATATTACCGTAAAGATTGACAAAAAGTGTATATAAATGATGCAAGATTTCTAAAAAAAGAGAGTTATTGATATTCGATTGATATAACTGTGTTGATGCCATCAAATGTCATTTTAAAATAAAATCTGTATAAAATTTGGTGCCATTTACAAATTGAATCGGGCGGTTTCTGGTTCTTTCGAACTGGATTAACACTACTACAGTAAACAGTACTCTCATATTTAATTCAATAAGGTACTCTAGTTAATCCCTTTTATTAATTGGAACGCGGCGTTTGTAAGGTCCAATGAGAAACATTTGATGTTAAAGAGTTTTAAATGGAGTTTCAAACATGCTTTTAAATGATTTGATAACCTTTCATGAACGGCACAGTTTTATTGGAGGACTTATATAAACCATTACAATAGATTTCTGTTCATTCATCGCACAATTTATATCAGTTTAAATACAAGTGTATGAAAGGTTTAACGAGAAAATTCGTGATCTGCATCCCTGCAATATAAAATGATGTTAATGATTCGGGCACTTTTTCTTCTTTGTTCTCTGGTATCAACCGTGGGCGCCTATACCCTATCGGACGAACAGAATTTACGGACTTCTCTTTTGACCGGGTATGATAAAGAGCTGAGACCGGGAACTGACAGGGGCTTTCCTCTTCAAGTCAACTCCTCTTATTTTCTATTGTCTATAAACGAGTTCGATTTGGATACCGGGAAATTCACCCTAACTGGCTTCTTCGGACAAAAATGGTTTGATGAAAGACTTTCGTGGGACCCCGCCAGTCACAATCAGACAAACTCAACCGTATTATTACAAAATAAAATATGGCTGCCCAATTTTATAAATGTCAATCCTTTTGAAGACATTAGAGGACTTGGGAGTGATTTAATTTCAGTGCGTGTTTCTTATACAGGTTATTGTGAATGGTATGCCCTACAGGTACTTGAAGTTATATGCGATGTTGATGTTTCTAAATTTCCTTTTGACACCCAGTACTGCACGATGAAATTCTTCATTGGAGGTTATTTACCATACGAAGTATATGTCAATTTCGAGTCATCAGAAGTGTATTTATCATTATACCAGGAAAATGGTGTATGGGATATTATTTCCTCTACAACACATATAAATATAAACCTTTACGGATATGAAGAAATTGTTGTTGGTTTTCAATTGAAACGAAGAACAGATTACTACACTGTTAGTCTAATACTGCCAATTTTAGCAATCTCTGGACTAATGGGTTTTGTTTTTATTCTTCCGCCGGAATCTGGTGAGCGATTGGGATTTTCTACCACAGTTCTATTATCCATAGTTCTCTACCTTACTTTAATCCAAGACATGCTACCGGAAGCGTCGGAACCTAACGTTTCCGTCGTTGGCTATATTTTGGTAGTCTACGTTGTAACTGGAGCTTTTAGTGTTGTGTTCGTCATCTTTGGCTTAAGACTACGGAGTTCTTGCAAGAAGCCTGTACCTCGATTTCTTGCAAGCCTTGTGAAATATTTTCATAAGAAAAAGAAAAAGGAAAACGCAGTTGAGAGCTTCGATACAAAATCTGTGGCCATAGATGATGATGAGGATGATGACGATGTATCGTGGTTAGAAGTGGGATGCTTTTTCGATAAAATTTGTTTCATTGTCTTCTTAATTGAAATAGCATTATCAAATATAATTTTTTGGTCCCTTGTGCTTTCTTAGATTTGAAAAAAAAACATTTCTATTTCTATATAAAATAATTGTTGTACTGTAATTGACAAATTACATTCCTATTTCAAGTATTAGTTTACGGATGAGTATTGTCAAGAATATAAAAAAATATTTATTTTCTTATTTATGTACTATTATTTAATTTCTTTATGTACTACCTCATTTTTTTCACAATAAAAAGTTTAATAAATATTTCTCAGTGTTACTCATTTACTTTACAAGGTGTGATTTCTGAAGCCTAACTCAAATTCAAAATGATTCCTCCAATAAATAAATTCCATTTACATAAAAATAAAATTTACCACTTTTTAATGTTTACTCTAATGCTTATTTGGCGCTTATTCATTGCATGATAGTAATCTAAGTAAATTTTCAACTAAGCTTTTGCCATTAAACAAATTGGATGTGAGTTTATGATTTTACCCTTCATTCTCAAATCTTAATGATGTACTCAGAGAGCAAATCAAAATTAACGAAGTTAATGTGACATTATTGATTATAGTGTTTGTTTTTTCAAACAATGACCAAGTCAAAATGTAACGATATGAATGTCACTGCATTGATTTAAACGTTTGTTTGATTTACACTCCGAATTTTTCTGTCCATGGCATATTGAGTCTGCAGTGCTACAATAACTGACTGCTCTGCGGCTAATAATTTTAACCATTGAACCATTTTCCATTTCGATCACATCTGAATACCACAAGACAAGATAGGTTAAGTCACTGAAACACATTTTTCTGATCATTGTCTGTGCTATTTTAAGAACGATGCAATCGTTCATCATACATTAAAAGGGTGTTTTAATCCCTATAACAAAATCATCGATAAGTAATTTTATTAATTTGCATATCAACAAAGGATTTGAATGAAATGTATGGAGATAACGAACATTATTCCAGCTCAAAAGTCCATAAAACAATACAAAATCCTTTGCATAGCAAACACGGATCCTACAAAAAAAAGACCGGATCACGTGCCATGGAGGAAAGCGTCATTGTTAATATAACAAGCCGATGTGCTATTTTGTCATGATCGTGAAATAACGGAAATATATATAATCACGATTTTATTAATTTGCATACTAACAATTAAACGATTTGAATGAAACATCTAAAGTACAGATTATCCTGATTGGCAAGGTCTGGATGGACTTTCAAGCTTAAATACTGTTTTTGTCTCAATATTGCATCTTCTTTCTCTCCATTATGCAATATAAACTGCCTTTTGAAGCGTTCAGAATCCTGTATTTTTGTGACAGTCGAAAATAATGGGAAAATCCTCGTCAATTCAGTTATAATAAAGGTAACAAATAAGTCTTTGAATGGCAGAGATTTGCAATTTAAAAACTTTCCAAACCTTCCAGTGACAATTTAATTGACAGAAATGGTATAGGGTAATAAAAGGGTTTTTTGTGTGATAAACGGTGTAAAAAAAACTGGTGTAATATAACATGCATCACTGTATTCAGGGAAATTTTCGCACCCGTTTTATTTTTGTCCCTTTCGCCCTTCCCTCATTTGGGCGAATTAAAAACAAGCGAATTGAAACAACACAGTATAAATTTTTAAACAAAACTATAACTGACAATATTTAAAAGGTGTAGGGTAATAAAAAATTATTTGTGTGATAAACTTTGTAAAAAAAGTCGTGTAAAATAACCCTGTGTACAGTATTAAGTCTGCGATTCCAAGAGAACTCTGAACGAAGTACATTTCAATAACAAAAGCTTGTACCCACATTCAAGAGAAAGAGTCTGTATGATGTCTAATTATTTTAACTATATTAATTATATTTAAGGCAATCAAATTGTTCTGTCTCTTTATACACTAAAGTACTTTTGGGCTGTTTGATGATTTATTTTCTGTCGAACACAATATTTTATTTTTGAGTAAATAGTATCTAAACAGAACATTAAATTTTATATTATATTAAATCTTAGTAAAACTTTTCAATTCGAGGATGCAAATAGTTGATGATTTTTAAAGATTTTTTGAAATAAAATATTTACATTTACATGCAGAGTCATCTTGCATAATTTTCATATATTTTACATATATTTTTGTAAGGAAGCATGTGCGTGAACCTATTTACAAAGAGTTTTACAATGGAAAGAAAAAGTGGCATATGTAAATAATATTAAGTAAAGTAATATAATTAAACAGAAAAAAAAATCAAATGAAGAAGTCTCAATTAAAATGCTTTCAAAAAGTTATTTTGAAAATGAGAACATTTAATCTGCAGATAATTAAGTAAAACATAATTTTTTCTCTTATTAATCAAGATATTGTCCTAAACATAATTTATATTTATTTTATTGATTGACAATCTGGACGTATTTGTTTCCTTATAATTAGAACGTTTCATCTCGCTAATTGTTCGGACAAAAACTAGAACATGAGGGTGATCATTCGTGGCTAGTGTGAAAGAAAATTTCATCCAAATAAATCCTTAAAATCTGACATTGAAGAATAATTATTTTCAATGTAATTCAGACTACGCGTATTAGAGAACACAATTGTACACAACTGAATACCCCTACCTTGATGAAGATGAACATTTGGAAAAAATTATCGTGCAGAACATTTTTTTTAATAGATGTAAATATATGCATAAGTTACTCTGTAGTATATTATGCACTTCTTTTTTTTTTTTTTTTTTTTTTTTTACAAGTCAGTTTGAAAATGCAAAGGTAATATATCCCACGTGCACGCTTCTTGATTGAAAAAAAAATATTTTTTTGCAACAGTCCGCAACTTCTCTTTTACCGCTGCACGGAAGTCAACCTTTTTTTGTCATGGCAATTATACTTCATTTTTAACCATTGCTTCCATGAAATATGAACACAATTGCAAAATTTACATTTTTTAGGACATAAAACATATACATGCATATACGTTTAAATAAGCAATATTATTTCCATTTGTCATATGAGAGAGAGAGA